TATGTACGTACGTACGTTCTCCTTACATGGAATAAATTTTTTTCCGCCACATCATCACTGTGTACAACATTAGTTATGGAGATATGAGTCACTTTGAAATCATGAACCGATCAATGTTAGATCAGCATTAGAGAAACTCACAAGCATTGGACAGATGTTTCATCCTGGTATGTGACTCATCGAAACGGTGTATCCACTGCCCCCGCTACTCGCAGGAATCAAACTCAGGATCTTCGGTCTGGTGCGCAAACGCTTAACCTCTGGACCACTAAGCCGGCATCTAGAAGTGTTGATGTCTAACATCGATCAATCCACAGTCTTGAGGAGCCTCATTAACTGTCTTCGGTTAGCACTGGCTTTACAACTAAACATAGTTGAACTCCACTGGTCATTAGTTTTCACTAGAACTCTAAGAAACCTCTTCATGGAGCTAGTCAGTAGTGAGTCCAGCCACCAACTGCACCGACAAGCTATGTTTTGTATTGTAAGAGTAGGTTAGAAGAGAGCTAGGAACCGCCAAACCAAATCACGGCACAAATCCATAATGTCATTGATATCTGGACTGAGCCATGTTGGTAGGTGTCAATTACCTGGTTAGTTGCCGCGAGATGATAGTAACCGATGTGTGGCGACCTTGAATGACATGTCTTTAAATCGTATACAATGCCATAGGTACATCCACTATTTGTATTCGCTCAAATCCTAATCTGAATACCTCATCACCTTTATCTTTATCCTTCTCTTTTTAAATTTATCTCACTAGCTTATACTTCTAGAACAATATTTTCAAACCCTAATCTCTTCGATTACTGCGAATACCTTTACTTCCTCTACTACTATGGGATTTAAATTGACAATTGCATCTCTATGCTAATGTGCCATTGGCAACTTGGACTGATGTACGTACATGTATGAGGTTCCACGTTGTAGCTGACTGGCTGAGTGGCATGATAATTCGCATTGTAGGGTTGTGGAGATTGTTGAGTTACCGTATTGAAATTATCAATTGATCAATGTACGACCAACATCAGAAACAATATTTACAGTTCACTGACTAAAACTAATCATTTCATGACCTATAACACTCGTCAGTAAAATGTACTCGTAATCTTTAACAATAGAATACTTCCTAGTGTATTCCAACTTATATTTCATACAATTTCACTGTTTGATACATACATCATCACAGAGTTGTTAGTTAGTTAGTTATTCAACACAGTAATTGAACATACAATCGGATAATAAAACATTGACAATTGATCAACAATCACTGAGCAGCGAGTGAGTGATCAATTGTCAATATTTACCTATCTCATCTTCTGTTGGTTTGATGCTGATCCAATTCTATCTGCATTACAGGGTTGTGAAGATTGTTAAGTTACACATTTTTGAAACCACGAAACAATCATTGTTAGACCGCCATTAGAAACACACAAGCACTGGACGGCCGTTCCGTCCTGGTATGGGACTCATCAGCAGTGCGCATCCACGACTCCTGCACCTCGTAGGATTCGAACCCATGACCTTCGGTATTGTGCGCGAACGCCTAACCATTGGACGACTGAGCCGGTATCTAACGGTGTTAATCTCTAACTTGATCGATTCACGGATTTGCGCAACCTCATACATAGTCTTCGGTAGTATTTACTGTCTGCACCCGAACAGGTGGATGCGCACTGCTGAGGAGTCCCATACCAGGACGAAACGGCCGTGTTTCAGTGCTTCCAGGTTTCGAATGGTGGTCTAACATTGATCGATTAATGGTTTCAAAAAACGTGTAACTTAACAATCTTCACAACCCCGTAATACAAATTACTTGTGCTCACTGGTGACGACGACTAGCTTGGTGAGGAATCTTCTCCGAGTTCTAGTGGGAAGTCCATGACCAGTGAAGTTCAACCAATTCTATCTATCTATTGATTCATTGATATTCATCAGAAAACATACATATTTTTTTAAAGGAACTAAACAACCTACTACTGCTGTGGTGAGAGCTACTTATAAGTAGTATATGACGTGAGTGTCAACGTAATATCAGGCAGCAGAAGATGGGGGAAGATCGAGAGAAAGGAAGAGTTAGAACACAATGGAATTTGTATGAAACGCATGAATAGTGACAATGGATTGTTGATGTTTTGCAACAGGAACAGTCCTCCAGTTCGATATGATGAACTGATAATTTGCAAATGAACGATTTACGATATGGTTTTCCTATTTTACTGAGTAACTCTGTAATTTTCGTTAAATACAATTCGGTTGCCCCACCTGTGTTCTCGTTCACTACACTACTACTATTCCATATAAAAAAGAAGTAGTATAGTAGTGTGTACAAACAAAAATTTCATCATTTTTTAATTTTTCATTTATAATCACAAATTTTGAAATAAATATTACATTGTTTTAATGAATATGTGTGCGTGTGTGTGTGTGTGCGGATGTGCGCGCGCGCAAAAGTGTGAATGTGAGCTCAATACAATATATGTCAATAGTTTGGATGTGTGTTATGAATAGTAGTAGTAGCGTAACTCTCCCGCTCTCTCTCTCACTCACTGGCTCGCTTGAACACTATCCATCAGACTTGAACATTGAATATATATATATATACACATTTATATTGAAACAATGAACAAAATCAAGCAATTGAATAAAAACAAAGGAACATAGTTTTTTTTTCAATTATATGTACAGTTTCGTTCTAAAAAAAAGAAAGGGTGGGGAAAGGGTAGGGAAGGGAAAAAAACAGAAAAAAAGCCTATTAGTTTTCAAAAAACAAATTAAATTAAAAAACACAACTAAATGAATACTAATAGATAAAAAGTAGTAGTTGATAGGTCACGTTACTACTTCACTTGGCTTTTTAGCTAGTCGATATCACTTAACCAGGTATATAATCGAAATGTGAACATGGTGGACATGAAACATGATCTTGATCATTCATTGTTCAATAGTTCGCAAATATCATTAACGAATCGATCACTGCTAGACCATCATCAGAGAAACCTAAAAGCACTGGATGGCCGTTTCGTCCTAACTAGTATGAGGACGCCTCAGTGATAGTGGCTATCCACGTCTAACATCGATCAATCCACAGTATTGAGGAGCCTCATTAACTGTCTTCGATGAGCACCGGCTTTACAACTAAACAGAGTTGAACTTCATTGGTCATTAGTTCTCACTAGAACTCAGAGAAACCTCCTTATCGAGCTACTCACGTCAGAGGATCGATGTTAACATGGTGGACATGAAACATGATCTTGATCATTCATTGTTCAATAGTTCGCAAATATCAGTATGAATGTGATGGATATAACGTTAATGATTTTTAATGAATGAAGCGAGATCATGGTTTAGACAACCATCATCATCATCAGAGAAACCTGGATGGCCATTTCGTCCTAATGTGGTGCGCTATACTACTTATAAGTAGTGCAATGACACGAGTGAAAACGTAATGTCTAGTGGCAACAGAAGAGGATGGGGGAAGATCAAGAAACGAAGAGTGGAAACACAATGGAATTTGTGTATGAAATAGCATGAATAGTGGTGAAATATCAGACAATGGATTGATGACGGATTGAAAATTTGGAAATTAACTGTTTACGATATGGTTTTCCTATTTTACTGAGTAACTCTGTAATTGTCGTTAAATACGATTCGGTTGCCCTCACCTGTGTTCTCCTTCACTACACTAGTATGGGACAGATCAGTGATAGTGGGCATCCACGTCGACCCCCCAATCATGGGAAATGAACCCAGGAGCTTCAATCTGTCTCAGGCGCACGTTTGCAACCTCTAGACCACACTTAGCCGAAATCTAATGGCGTTAATGTCTCATGTTAATGGGGTTTTTCAGTGCTCCCAGGTTTCTCTAATGATAATATCACAATGATCAGTTTATCATTTCAGTAATATGTATAGTTTATATCACTAAATGATTTTAACTAGATGACTAATAAAGATTAAGTCACAAATATATTTTTAATACAGAGCAGTACTAGGATCCTATTGTGGACTAATCAGCTGGATGTATCTACATCTCGGTGTTGATGTCAACTCCGGGACTCGAACCAAGTACCGTTTGGTTCGAACATACTTCTACCTCTCTACTTGAAAATCCAGTATGAATTTCCGGTAATATCAAGGTAATGGTTACATATTAGGGACTATATTGTGATTAAGGGCAGTTGTCAAACAATGCTATGAGATGATGAATTTTCTGTAACACGAACTAATTGAAGTGTGAATTAATACAGCTAAGCTATCACTGTGAATATTAGTTTTACCAGTTTTAAAGACTGCCCAAATGACCCACGTTCAATATTCAATGAAACTGTTCAAATGTAGCGCTGTTTGTAGCGCTCCAAATCAAATAAACTGAAACAAATAGAACAAAGTGTTTTGTCGGTTTCACTACAAAAAAAATACTGTCAGTAATCAACTCTGCGAAGGTAGCCCCCTCTGAGGTTACTTGCTGCCGGTTGTCCCAAGCCCGAAGGATCAAGAAGAAGGGTTGGGCTGTGGTGCGAGCTACTTATAAGTAGTATATGATGCGAGTGTCGACCTAATGTCTGGCAGCAGAAGATGGGGGAAGATCAAGAAAGGAAGAGTCAGAACACAATGGAATTTGTATGAAACGCATGAATAGTGACAATGGATTGTTGATGTTTTGTAACAGGAACAACAGTCCAGTTCGATATGATGAACTGATATTTTGCAAATTAACGATTTACGATATGGTTTTCCTATTTTACTGAGCAACTCTGTAATTGTCGTTAAATACAATTCGGTTGCCCTCACCTGTGTTCTCCTTCACTACAGGGCATGGGAGTTAGTGACCTCACTCTGGAGAAAAAACGAACTTGCTTGAAAAAAAACACGCCAATCAGAAAATTAGTATGACTTACCCTTCAAAAAGTGCATAACACATTCGACTGAAGTGAATATACATGTATATATATATATATATATATATAGATATTTTTCTTATGTACAAACATATTTTCTGTATGCATAAAACGCATTGAAAAGAATGCGAGGATAATAATAGTTGAAATATCACAATTCTGCGTTGAGTGATTTTCTCAATGAATCAGCAGCAATAAGTTGTGCATTTTATGAGTTTGTACACACTGTAGTACATGATTTGACAGGTTTATTCACGGGGAACATGTCTAGAAATAGAGAAATGAAATAAAAATTATGTCATCAAAAGTTTGAATAAAGATATATACACTTAAAAACTGATGTAAGTAAGCCGGACCATCGTCAGAGACCTGGAAGTACTGCTGGACGACAGTTTCGTTTTAGTAAACAGGGGGTTGATTGTGAAATTAGACACTAACGGCATTGGTAGATGTTGGTTGACTCAATGATTGAATGCTTAGGCATTGGCGTACATCGACAAACATAGCTCCTGGGTTCGATTCCCGCTTGTGGAGGAGGTCATGGATGCGCACTGCTGACGAGTCCTCTACTTGGGACAAAACATTCTTTGAAAATATATTTTAAAAAAATATGTTATTGGCCTATAAATAACAAGTCCGAGTAACTAACTGTAAGAATGTCCCGGAATTTCTGCATTCATTCACACACATATACGCACGCACTCAGGCTAACAGACTTGTCAAAGCAGATAAGGAGAAAATCAATTTAATCACGTGATTATTACAGCGCAAGTGAACGAGCTAACCAGTCAATACGAATATTATAAATTTTGAAAAAAAATCGATTACAATCTATGGATCGAATGAGTCATCATAATAACAGTTATTTGCATGAATTAATTTTAATCATCAGATTAAATAAAATCCTTAAAAGTGTAGATATTATTTTCAATTACAGAGCGAGAGAGAGAGAGTTGCAGAGATTGCGGACAGTGATCAGTTCATAATCTAAATGAAATTTAACAATCCACCATAAAATGTGCTCACTAGTTAGAACTAGATTTGTGTAAGAGAAATTCTCGGAGTTCTAATGACAAGCCCGTAATCAGTGGAGTTCAACGCTGTCGGGTGTAGGCAGTTAGTTATCCATTGACTACAATTAAGTGAGGTTGCACACTATATCTTAGATTGATTAGAGTTAGAAATGAACACAGCTGGTTGCCGGCTTAGTGCTTTAGAGGTTGATTGTTCGCTGGCAAGATCTAAGGTCGTGGATGCGTACCGATGACGATTCCTATACTTGGACAAAACAGCCGTTCAGTGCTTATATATATATATATATATATATATATATATATATATATATATATATATATATATATATATATATATATATATATATACTCATATTATGGAGCATAGGATGCCGACCAACATTCTGTAACCTACTCTATCCTAGGCCTTCTTATCTAATTCTGTCCAGTTGTTGTTCATTCTACTCATGTCTGTCTCCGATTCTCAGTGTAATGTTTCTCGCTGGCCTTCTTCTTTTCCTTTGACCTTGAGGGTTCCAAGTGAGAGCTTGTCTTGTGACGCAGTTAGTTGCTTTCCTCATTGTGTATCCTATCCATCGATTCCAGAGCTTTTTCCTGATTTTCTCCTCCACTGGTGTCTAGTTTGTTCTCTCCCACAGCATGTTGTTGCTGATGGTGTCTGATCAACGAATCCTACTATATACAAGCTTAATCACTAAGTCAAAATAATCGGAACTCTCAAAATTCCCAATGGTTAAGTGCTTGCAGCCAAATTGGGAATTATTATTACTAACTTCTTATTACAAACATCGCACAAACAAGGTAGACCTATATATGATCTATGGAAATGAAGAGAAAATTTACTCCATAACATATTCGTTTAAATTGGAGTAAGAATCTCGGGACACTAGATACAATTGTTGAGAAGCTACCGGGAGTCGAACTCAGAACCCCACGATCTTGAGCGCAAACTCGCGAATCTCTAGACCATTAAGCAGGCACTTAACAGTGTGAATGTCTAGTTTTAATCAATTTAAGGAGCTGGTTATCTTACGATAGATACTATTTTAAGAAATCAGTTAACTACCTAATTTATTTATATTCAACAGTTTACAATAATAATTATGAGAATGAGGGTTAGGTAGGTAGATCATTACTCACAAGAGCTTAATTGTTCTTTTGCTCAGAAAAAAAACAAGTTATTTCGTATTCAACTAAACTTGTGAAGATATTCTGATATCACGTGAAAATTCAGGCTATAAGAAATCGTGATTATGCAGATGTGTAAAAGAGACTCCTCACATTATCGTACACAGCAGTCAAAATTAAAAAAACCATCGTGTTTTTATTACTTCATTTCATATACAGTCAATCATCTTATCACTTTTCTTTGGGTTGGCTACGTGTTCATTCCATAGTGTGTGCGTGTGCGTGTGTGTGAATTGAATAATCGTGTATATATATACACCTTTTAATGATCTCTTCTCCAACCATTGTACATTGAAATGAACAATGTAGACTTTTTTTTGGTTACAGTACCCGCATTTCTCATTGATTATCAATGTTATAATCGCATGCTTTTTGATGTAAGAATTGCATGTTGAGTGTGGAATAAGTTATGAGGAAGGAGAATCATTATTTTAAGTTAGTGTTTAGTCACATATTCATTATGTGTGTGTGTGTGAGAGTGAGTGACTTGAGATGTGGGTTAGTAGTTAGTTGTTACAAAGTTAATCAAGAATCAAAGAGTGTTTTAAGAGACGATATCAAACAGTTAAATCATACAATTATGTTATTAAAACCGGGAGGTGTTCAACTGCATGGCACATGTCTTGCAGTTCAGTTGATTGGATGAGAAGATGGAGACAGATTAGTGTATATAGTAGTTGACGATGTTGCGTAATACATGTGGTCTTTCCGAATTATTTGCACACAGCTCACTTTCGTCCTTAGACGATCTCATCTCTAATATGATGTCTCGGTTGTTTTAATGAACACTCAACCACACACAATACATGTATCGCTGTAAAAATTACTTACTGTTGACAAATGACGTCAGTCAAGTGATCACTAGTACTTATGAGAATGCTGAAGAACATGAGTAAAATGGTCTTAATGAGCACACTTCATAATGCAACTATCACGCTATGATCATCCTCACTAACTGATCTCTCCACTCTTGATCAAATAGTGACCATACTGTTTTCAAACAGCCCAAATCCCAACAGAATACGGTTATTCCGTTCCTAACAAAACTAACCACCATCCTCACTTATTCTCAACTATGAATATAATATAATGGATATGTATACATGTGTTACTTCACTTTCATACTTTCGTATGAGGTAATTATTTGCTCTAGACGAACGTTCAACGTAACCCTCTTCAGTCAGTAAACAATGTTAAGTCAAGTGAAAACAACACATTTCAAACTGATTGACACATTTCGAGGTTCGAAACACTGACATTGAAGATGAATTTAGGTGAAACATCATCAGTGACATAAGATTTTGTATTTGAACAAACTATCAACGCATATGATTGGTTGATTCGGATCAACCTACTCTTCGACCTTGAATGTCAACTTCCGATTGATTGACTGATTTACGCAATCATGACACGTGACAGCTTTAATTAATTTCCTACTCATGCAGAAACGTCCTAGTTATTCTTGCGAACATCATGACACTTTCAGTGAATAAATCAATTAATTATGTGTTAGGATCTCAGTTACCATCTCAGTTAAAAGGTGACTAACAAAATATCTCTATATAGTGTTAAATATTCGACATACTACTGGTAGTAACTAGGTGACAGCTGAATAGATCACATGCAGACACTTAGTTACATCCTGACATCAAGTATCATTCAGAAAACACAGTAAGTGTTGAAACTTACCAGTCAATTTCATCTGCTTCAAACAAAAGTTTCTGTTCGATGTAGCTGGTGGACAGGGAGATATTTGATTGGCACAACATGAAACGGGCTCCGATTTTTCAGCACAATCCACATCCTTTGAACATGGAATACTGTCAGAAGAATTAGAGAGCGAAGAATAACTTGGCAATTTATGTGGGATTTCAGACAAACGACAAGTTGAATCAGCACGACCACCACCACCACATTTCAAATGTCCATTAAGATGTGAATGTTGTATGCGGTCAGTATGCTTCCCTTCACTTTTACTTCGTATATGTCCAGTATGTGAAGAATGCATGTAACGCCTACCAGATAGGAGTCTAGCGTTCGATGAATCTCTACTTCGTGCACGACACACATGGAACGACGAATGTGCAGCGGGTTGAGATTGTGTGGACTGAACAAATGTCCTTGAAGACGATCTACATTCAGGTGAATGTGACTTGTGCAATGTGAATGAAGCAAGTGAATCGGGTTTATTATCATTGGTGAATGACTTTGTGATGGATTTATGGGGTGTATTCGGTGGTACCGAATATCCTAGTTGATGAGATTGAAGAAGCAAATAACTGTCAGAATGATATTTATTGTTCAAATAAAATATCGGTATATAATTGATTGTAGTATCCAACTGTTCCCAATGCCACGTGTGTTTATGCCTTGTGTGATTGTGATTTTCTCGATCATTTTCATCAGCCTCACAATGGATCGTCGATTCAGCCAAAGGTTTCATTTGATTCAAATCAAATTCATACATTTCACAGAATTGTTGAAGATTTTTTTGACAGATCGCCTTGAATGTTTGTTGACATTGAGCAGTGATCATTAGTGATTTTGTTTGAATGGTGTTGTTATCGTTATCAGTATCATTTGAATTAGTAGTCCATAATTTATTATTTTCCAACGATTGAAATAAACATCTCGCTGGTTCAACTCTTCTACTACAACACTCGTGTAACATTCCACTGTGCGCTTCGTTGTTGTTGTATTGACTTATTTTAAAAAAACACAGTCAAATAATAGATTTTTTTCAAATTCTAAATTAATATTTCTTCTGTGATGTCGTTGGTGTATTTTCTGTTCACGTGAATGTATATTATTATTATCCGTTTTGTGATTGGTCAATATTGTTCATTTTCAAAGCAATGAATCAACCCAGTTGACCAATCAAAATTGTCATATATGTAGGTCGGTGGGTGGTGGGGAGAGGGCGATAGATAATCTTTTTCATTGCCATATTATCCTATAGAATAATAATAAATATGGAATGTCAATGTTGAAGTGAAGTTAGTGAATGGTCACAGTGTGGTGTGAGCTACTTATAAGTAGTATATA